GTTAAGTACCGGTACCGATTCCCAGGTACCGGATATTGGTACAGAATCGATTCAAAAGTCAAAGGTACCCATCCATAGTCAGACAACTCTGTTGTTCTGAAGGATAGAAAATAAGTCTTCTTTCTTCTTCTGCTGTCATAAGATAGAGTAGTCCTCCATCTCACTCTGTCCTCTCCAAACCCWYTGTCCTTCCTCTGGACATGTYCAAACCATCTCAGTCTGGWCTCTCTAACTTTATCWCCCCGTCCTTCAATCGATTCTGAAGCACAGAGTTGTTTTTCTCAGATCAGCAGGTGGATTTAAGAAGCTTCAGGCCACAGCTGCTGTTGCACAATCAGCACATTATGACCCAGACTGCTGAACATTATTAAACACAAACTAGCCGACTAATAAAACACTCGCTGCTTGTTTGGGTAGATTACAGTTATCAGTGATGGTTGGAGCGCCCATCATCTCTGGCTGTGTGCCAGAGCTCTTCTGATGGAGCACCTCATGCCAAATGTTCCGTCAACGTTTGTTTCTTCTTTTATAATCACATTATTCACCGTTTATGCAGAATATTTAATAAAATGTGTAAATAACTGTTCGGTTCTAACTGAAATCGGCTTYGAAACAAGAAAACAAAATTTTTCTGTATCAGAAGGCAAGATGCACTAACCCTGATTTTACACACTGTACGAGGTGTTGGGTTAAAGCAACCGGACTAAAACAACTCTGGTTTATTTTTAGTCAGCAGTGTTGGTCGATCAGTTTGACTCAGCAATCTGAGTTAGGTTTTTATCTAAAGRTTTGTTTAAGAAAACACTTTAGTTAATTTAGAGCTCTTAAAACATTGAGCTACATACAATAATCCAAAACCTGGGTTATTAGATCACTACAAAGTAGGTTGGTGCTAGGCTAGCAAGAACTAATGTTACGCTCAGTGGTGGGCGTGTTACACTCATCAGCCAACAGCTGATAGCAGAATGATTTTATTGTTTAGCAGATTAGTATTTTTTAACTTTGTAAACTGTTGGTGGACCAATTATCTTCAGCTACATTAGGTTTTGTCATCTTTAAGTATTCTAACAGCTAAGTAAGCTGACGAKTTTACGTCATGGTGCAGCGCCATGTCCAAAGAAGAAGACTGTCCAAATCATAAAACTCCTTTGATGTGGTCGACAAATGTGTCCTTCTTTTTCTTTTTTACTAATTTAAGGGATGGGTCTGGTGAATCCCTCGGCCCATGCATTGTGGGCAGACCAGAGATTTTTTTTTTTTACTAATGGCGGACGAGGTGAGTTTTTAATAAAAATCTGGTGGTATAAAAATTGAAAGTTGAAAGTGGTTGTTTTGTTAATACTTCTGTCATTTGTATAGACATATTTTTTTTCAGAAATCAAACAAGCTGGTATAACAAAATAAACATGCATGTATGGTGTGTCCATTAGTTCTTCAAATATTGCCTTTAAGCTATTTTTGTT